ATGGCGGGTACCATGTTCAGGGCAGACCCACGCCCACCTGTCCCATCCTGAACACCTCAGCTCGATGGCGGGTACCATGCTCAGGGCAGACCCATGCCCACCTGTCCCATCCTGGAAGCTCTGCCTCTGGCTGCCCGCCTCTGGCTCTGCTTTGCTGTCTGCACAGCCGGGGCTCGGTCTCCAGTCTCACCTGCACACTTTCTGTGTTCCTCACTGGCCTCACAGCCGTCTTCTGCTCTCCAGGGGAACCTGAGCTTCTCCTGCGTGGAGCCCTACACTGTGCCCGTCTTCTTCAACGCCACCAGCTACCTGGAGGTGCCCGGCCGGGCCGACCAGGATCTGTTCTCCGTCAGCTTCCAGTTCCGCACCTGGAACCCCAATGGCCTCCTGCTCTTCAGCCACTTCGCCGAGAACCTGGGCACCATCGAGATTGACCTGGCCGAGAGCAGAGTCAGTGTCCACATCAACGTCACCCAGACCCGGATGAGCCAGATCGACATCGCCTCAGGTGGGTGAGCCCTGCCTGACGTGCTCCAGGGTCGCGGTGGCGGTGGCGGTGGCAGAGAGGACAGTGTGGGGTGTGGTGTTGGCGTCCCGAGCTCACGGCTGTGTACTCATTCAGACTTTGGAAATACCTACCGTGTCGCGCTGTGTGCTAATTGAGCAAGGGAAACTTGGAAAGTGCTGAGAAGGTGAGGGTGGGCGCGGAGGGAGCTGGGGGCTGTCTCAGAGCCTGAAGTCTTCCCTTCCTTGTGAATGCTGTTGTTGTTTGCTGTGGTCGAGTCGGATCCTCACGTACAACAGAACGAAACTTTGCCCTGTCTAGCTCCATCGTCACGATCGTTAGTATTATGAACGCTAGTTCATATGGAATAGAGAAACAGCTGCTTCTCTAATATTTCAAGTTTAAAACAAAGACTATTTATTTTTAATATACATCGGTGTCTAGCATCTTTTCTTCACGGACAGTCCAATTCCTTTCAGTATCCGCAACAAGACTGTACATTTAGTGATAACCTGAGAGGTATATTCAACTGCCGGAGTCAAAACTTCAAGGTGACCTTGCTAACATGTTACACGTGGTCAGAATAAAAAAATGAAGGGGTGACTACAGAGAGAAAAGATGAGGTGATGCGTCAATGTGGGGAGACTGGCTTGGCCTCGTAGGGTGATTTCTAAAGACGGCATCACTATGGGACAACGAGCCGAGGTTTAGTCGATGTTGTTGTGCTTAGCAATTTCGGAATGTTCTCTGATGGTGCAAAGAAGGCAGATGTTGCAAAGTGAAATGTCACACAGAGGAAAATGCGGCATGAGAGCGGAGTGAATGATAAATACTAAAATTGTTCATCTGATTTGTCCAGATGTTTCTCACGATGTCATTGTTATTTTGTGAAGACCTGTGAGGGGATATGGCTGTGAGAAAACTGGCATTTGTTGAGCTCCTGGTAAGGATGCAGCAAATACTGAGCGAGGAAGTTTGGGACAGACATGAGCAGTGTAACCGCCGATGGCTATTTCTAAGTCCTCTGTGTCCACTCCTGACACCACAGGCACCCACGTGACACAGGCTCTCACTGACCATATTAAGGGTTCGCATCACATTTCCTTCCAGGCTGTGAGCACCTGAGACCCGGGGCCAGGGGCAGATTAACCAGTAAGCACTGTCTGCACAGGCTTGCACTGAGCAAGGTACGCACAGGTTTCATTGTATTTACTTGCTAATCTGTGCTGAGCAGTTTCACCTGGGTTTCACCATGTCTTTGGTGTGATGGGGGACAGGTGAAATCATGCGCGCAGATTGGAGGGAAGGCACAGTTGGGCCGGTGTGGACCTTGCCTATTGGGTAATCCAGCCGTGCCAGGGACCATGTCTTCTTCCCTCTCTAGCGTGTAGAACAGTACCTAGAATACATGAGGGGTTCCGGGAAGGTTTGCTGAGCTCTGCTGTGACCCTGGGAACCAGTGTCACTACCAGAATATCTTCTGTTGAAGGACATCTATTTTCTGCTAAAATAGCTGTCGTGTGTCTGTGTGGCCTGACCCCATGCATCGCCACAGGCACGACTCACAGAAGGCATAGGAGCTGTTCCATCGGAGATGTGTCTAAGTTACTGAAATCCAAAGTGATTGTGAAACACCCAGGTACTCACTTTTTCTGGTTTTGCTCTGCTCCTTTTGCTTTTCCCCTAAGTGTTCAGAACTAAAATGATTGATCAACTGTATTTGATCATTACTCCCCAGTATAAATTCACCTGGGGAGATTTAGAGCAAATAGAAAATATCTGGAGAGAGCCCAATAACTTACACACATACAAATAATTACTGCAGTTGGACAACTCCCCAGTAGAATCTGTTACGATTCATAGTTCTTTTCTAACAAAGAAGCACATAAAAATGTAAGTACAAAGGCCTCCCTTCCAGCATTCTCGGAGCAAACCCAGCTAGCTTGTAGTTTTCCATGTACCAGGAGCCATTCTGTTTGGAGGAATAGGATGTTAAACACAGTGATCAATAAACATTCATTAATTTGACTCGGTTTCATTTAAGACTCAAAGTTACCCTCATCTAATTTAAACTGTGTTTGTTAAAAAATGAAAGGAAAAAAAGGAGGAAAGAATGAAAGATTCTAATGTGAGACAACTGAATTACCTTAATAGATCTGAATAACGATGATAAAAGTAGACTTTAAGCATTTTGTCAGTTTAGCCAAGAATCTGTGCAAATTAAGGGAAACTGATACGAAATTTAAATATATAATCTCTCTCATATATTCAGTGGAAATTCCTTAGCGTTTCAAATATTTCTTTTTTTCCTCTACGCCAAACAAATATCTCAAGAGAAATGTTAGCAGGAACTAGGATCTCAATGGTTATTATTGCTCAGATTCTGGAAGATCAGTGAGTAAATGGATGAACATCTATTAAAAAATTGTATCTCGCACTTGTTTATTCATCCTACAAAGGCGTGTGGAGTCCATAGAAGAGAACCTAGTCTGTATTTTAACGTGTTTTCCCAAATTTAATTGAATGACTGAACAATTTAGTATAAATAGCAACACTGAGAAAATAATGTAGAAAAGTAAGTTAACCTAGGATATTAATGTTTGCTTTAATAAAGGGAAATATTTCTGTATCGAAGCCACCCAATTCTTACATCAGCAGGAGCCCGAGGAATGTAAATCTTCTTTTTTTTTTGAAATATCTTGTCACAAAAACTAAGAAAATGTAGAAAACCATGAAGAGGAAAACAGCCACTCTTCCCATTTCCGAGTGCACACAGGCCCACAGCCCGGATCCTCCTCAAGCCGGCCTCGGGGAGGTCTACCTGGGGGCCCTCAGCTACTGTCTGTTGTGTATGCTTGTGACTTGGTTTTGCTGTTAGTTAGCAGGTTCTGTGGTCCAGGTTGAAGGTAACTGAATTGGTTCAAAAGACTTTTTCCTCCGTCTTGTGCACCATTTTTCTTTGGGGATGAATTTAAATTGTGTAAGTTGGAGAATATTCAGTATATTGTTCACCCTCCCTTATACTTTCCCTCTAAATTCTGACTAACCTTCAAGGGTCCCATTAGTCACAGAGAGTGCACTCAAACTTGTAAAATTCAAACTCGGAGCAAGCTTGAGTTTACACAGTGGATTATCTTTCCGCAAACATTTTCTAAGTTGCAACATCAACTTTTATAAAGCATCCCACTGAATTTCATTCTTCAGAAAAAAAGCCACTGGCTTATGAATACATATTTATTCATTACCTCAACCTAGGAGGTAATGAGCCCTTGTGGTTCAGTGGTTAAGAGCTCAGCTGCTAACCAAGAGGTCCGCAGTTCCAATCCACCAGTTGCTCCTTGGAGACCCTATGGGGCAGTTCTACTCTGTCTTATATGGTCACTATGAGTTGGAATTGACTCTATGGCAATGGGTTGGTTTTCTACCTAGGAATAAATGGTAAAGGGAAAAAAACAGGTGTTCATTGTAAGAGTAGTTTTTTTAACCTTCAAATTCAGGACCCTGGGGGGAGGGTTAACATGGAGTTATGCCTTTCAAATGATTTGATCAAACACAGTGAGAAAATATTTTCTATCATACTACCTACAGAGCAAAAAAAACCCAACAAACCCATTGCCATCAAGTCGATTCCAACTCACAGTGACCCTGTAGGACAGAGTAGAACCGCCCCGTATGGTTTCCAAGGAGCACCTGGTGGATTTGAATTGCCGACCTTTTGGTTAGCAGCTGTAGCTCTTAACCACTACGCCACCAGGGTTTCCCCAGAGCAAAGGTTCTTCAAGTAAAACTTGCCTTACGACTTCATATGCACTGATCATTTTGATGTTTTCTTTTCCATTAAAAAAACTGCCATGACCCACTGAAATCATTTCATGACGTAAAAATAAGTTGCAACCCACAGTTTGAAGAACACTGACCTAGAGCTTTATCTTTTCTTCTGAAGTGTTGGAGTTTTAAAAAGTTCTCCATCTCTGGAGGTATTTACTCGATCACTCCATATTGGAAAACCAAATGTATTTTTCCAGGAACAGAATTATGATATTTTAATGATAGTAAAGCAAGAAGTGTTCATATGAATTATAGTCTGCTGTCTACCGGAAAACCTACCTATCATTTGTAGTAAGTTTTTTTAATTGCAAAATGCCTCAATGTTTATGTCGTTAAACGACAAACAAACGTATATAACAGCAGTCAGTTGTGGTCTTCCCATAGTAACAGAGCCATAAAGTGGAAGGAAGGTGATTTCTGTCAGTGACTCTTCTCACTTAATGGTGAAAAAAAAAAAATCAATTTCCATCCACCTATAGACAAAGCTTATGAGCAAAGACGTGTAACACACACTGTCTCTAAAGCCACTGTTTGAAGGAGTACCAGGACCTGGAGCTCACGCTCTATTTATGTTGAAATTGCTTCAATTTTAGAAGGACTCTTCCGCATCCACATGGCTTCAGAAATCAGCACTCGGCAAAAATCATCCTTGTTTGTGCTTCTGTCACTAAAGAAAATCTTTTTTGTAGCTTTGTTTTATTTACTCTCGTTTCTTAGTAAAATTTCCTTTGTAAACCTTCGAGTCACTTGTGGGTGTGTCAGGGGAAGAAGTAGATGTTTTCTTGGCTTAGTAGGGAGCTGGGGAGCTTGCTGGAAAATACTCATGAGTCCCCATTCAGCCTCAGCAATGCATTTGCCTGGGGCCTCTCATGGCCCTGTGTATCCTAAGCACTTAGAATAGTTCTTCTCTTGATTTTATGAATATTTAAGAATTTAGTCAGTGCATTAATATTTCTTTAAAAGAATTAATTAATACCAATTTCTGAAGTTCAGTGATAGCTTGTATTGTGAAGTTTCTTTTTCCTCACATAAGAAAGAGAGATCTAGTTTGTAATACCACTTCTTACGTTTTGTTTAAGAAGGCCTGGTGGCACAACGGTTAAGTGCTTAGCTGCTAACCAAAAGGTTGGCAGTTCGAACCCACCTAGCAGCTCCATGCGAGAAAAGACCTGACA